AAAGGGATGTTAGGAAGTATTTCTTCAATTATAGAGTTGTCGGAAGTGGAATAGTTTAGCAAGAGATGTAGTGGAGACAGGAACCATACATAGGTTTAAGACGAGGTATGACAAAGCTCAAGGAGGAGAGAGAGAGAGAGAGAGAGAGAGAGAGGACCTAGTAGCGATCAGTGAAGAGCCGGGGTCAGGAGTCTCGACCCCTGCAACCACAATTAGGTGAGTACATGCATACCTACACAGGTGTGCATACATACATTCATACAAAAAATATACCCTCATACACATATACAGATATACATGCAGTGAGGTAGAGGCAGCTGGGCTTATGAAATGCGGGGATACCTTTCTCGGTCCGGGTTTAGCACTTCCCAATGAATGTAATAATAATAATAATAATAATAATAATAATAATAATAATAATAATAATAATAATAATAATAATAATATTACTATTATTATTAATAAGAATAACAGTAATAATAATAACAACAACAACAACAACAATAATAATAATAATAATAATAATAATAATAATAATAATAATAATAATAATAATAATAATAATATTAATAATTAATAATAATAAAAATTTCATGACGAGCCTCATAACCTCCATACGTACACTGAAAGATGTACTGATATCTCTCAGCACATAAACACTGCGAGCTTGAGTCCCTGTTTCATACATTAATGCTTGCTTCATATTAGTGTGCAGGTGACTGAGTGTGGCACATGCAGTCAATGGTCTCCTAACTTAATAAATCCAGTAACTTTGCTCAGGTATAGAAAACGGAGTGCAGCTGGAGGTAGGTGCATTGAGTATATCAGGAGACAGTGTCACACCTGCCCAGGTGTCGTGAGGTAGTAATAGTAGGTGCGACCACCTGGACAAGTTTAAGCCACATTAACAAAGGTCACTGGAGGTCTCCATTCATCGCCATGGTCTTTCCTATCTTTCTCACTTGTGGTCCCAACGAAGTTTTGGTGGTTTCAGGTGAGGAAATAAACAGTTAAGCTTTTGAGATCGTGGTACAACGTATCCGAAGTTACCGTCAGTTCTGGGGTGGTAAACCCTTAGTGTCAGGAAAAGAAGCAGGAGAGAGTAATGTAGAGTTCCAGGCAGAGGCTGGAATGTTTGAGCTAGCGGACCGTGTACATGGAAGGACGCAAGGTACCGGATATTATTCTTGAGGAAAATAAGTGTAGCTAGAAGAGAGTGAAACTGGCAGGCGGCGGCAGAGCGAGAGTTGCCATAACTTTTTGCATGTTTTATTTTGTAATATACTGCAAAACGGAAACAGTTACGTGAGGTGGGACTGGCGCCGGGAGAACTGACACCCAGGGCAGTGAGGGACCCACACCGACCATCCAGTCAACAGTTATTATGTCACTACCGCCGCACATACAAACACTGGCACACTGCGCCATGTGGCACTGCTGTGCGGTGATGTTCAACGTTGTCAGGAACCGCAAAGTGCAGATGAGAACGAGGCACATTAGGTACACTTGTGTTCAGTGTGGCGAAGGTGTCATGAGTCGCATCATGCGCTGACTTGTGATATATGTGAGGGAAGTGCGCATGTAAGGTGGACACACAGTATTAATAATGATCCAAGTAATGAACTAGTAGGCAGTAATGATAACTTTGCATGTAATAAACACACAATACATAATAAAGATACAGACTCTGTTATTACCAGACCAAACAACTTTACAAATTACAACACTGTAATACTGAGCTGAGGAAGAACAGTAAATACGCTATATGTGTATTATGTAAGGGACAGGACAATAACACTCGTACTTTTGTTGGAGTTACACTGACAGAGTTTCTCGTCAGTGTATGTAACTCCTGCAGCTTAACACTGTTACCAGTCAGTGTAACTCCTGCAGCTTAACACTGTTACCAGTCAGTGTAACTCCTGCAGCTTAACACTGTTACCAGTCAGTGTAACTCCTGCAACTTAACACTGTTACCAGTCAGTGTAACTCCTGCAGCTTAACACTGTTACCAGCCAGTGTAACTCCTGCAGCTTAACACTGTTACCAGTCAGTGTAACTCCTGCACCTTAACACTGTTACCAGTCAGTGTACATCCTGCACCTTAACACTGTTACCAGTCAGTGTACATCCTGCACCTTAACACTGTTACCAGTCAGTGTACATCCTGCACCTTTACACTGTTACCAGTCAGTGTACATCCTGCACCTTAACACTGTTACCTGGAGTTTACCTGGAGAGAGTTCCGGGGGTCAACGCCCCCGCGGCCCGGTCTGTGACCAGACCTCCTGGTGGATCAGAGCCTGATCAACCAGGCTGTTGCTGCTGGCTGCACGCAAACCAACGTACGAGACACAGCCCGGCTGGTCAGGAACCGACTTTATGTTGCCAGTCAGTGTAAATCCTGCACCTTAACACTGTTACCAGTCAGTGTAAATCCTGCACCTTAACCTTCATACATAATGGAGTGACCTGTAGACATACCGTAGCTGTGATTCTAGTGTCACCTTCAGGCAGACACTGGAATCACAGCTACGATATAACGGTGCCATCTTCAGGTAGACATGGGTGGTATACTGGTGTCACCTTCAGGCAGACAAGGATGGTATACTGGTGTCACCTTCAGGCAGACAAGGGTGGTATACTGGTGTCACCTTCAGGTAGACAAGGGTGGTATACTGGTGTCATCTTCAGGCAGACAAGGGTGGTATACTGGTGTCACCTTCAGGTAGACAAGGGTGGTATACTGGTGTTATCTTCAGGCAGACAAGGGTGGTATACTGGTGTCACCTTCAGGTAGACAAGGGTGGTATACTGGTGTCATCTTCAGGCAGACAAGGGTGGTATACTGGTGTCACCTTCAGGTAGACAAGGGTGGTATACTGGTGTCACCTTCAGGTAGACAAGGATGGTATACTGGTGTTATCTTCAGGCAGACAAGGGTGGTATACTGGTGTCACCTTCAGGTAGACAAGGGTGGTATACTGGTGTTATCTTCAGGCAGACAAGGGTGGTATACTGGTGTCACCTTCAGGTAGACAAGGGTGGTATACTGGTGTCACCTTCAGGCAGACAAGGGTGGTATACTGGTGTCACCTTCAGGCAGACAAAGGTGGTGTACTGTATACTGGTGTCACCTTCAGGTAGACAAGGGTGGTGTACTGTATACTGGTGTCACCTTCAGGAATAATTTTATTCACGGTTCTTGCATTATTTATTTAGTTGCTGAACAGATATGAACATAAATTCCGCAGACTCTGCAACTGTTTCGTTACACTCGTTAACCTCTGCTAAGTGTTTTACACTCTGGTAACCTATGATGCTCTACACTCGTCTCACAATACACTCAAGCACAATACACTCACACAGTCTACGAGACTATACACTCGTGTCTCACAATACACTCAGACAGATGTCACAAAAGTATTTCTCCTTGAAAGGTTCATCTAAATAAGTCAACTGATTCAGCACAATTCTTTCCTAGTGTACCACAGACTGACGAACAAAGTTTCCTATATTACTCTCTCCTCATATTTACTCCCGCGGGAGGGGAAGGAGGGGCGGGGGAAGAGGAGGAGGAGGCCATGATGATGCTGCACGGCGCTTGATTCATGGAACCGGAGCTACCCGTCCCTTCCTCTTATCTAACCTAGTTACCTCTTCCACTCCCGACGGTGTGTGTTGTTCCGTTAAGACCCGCGTCCTGTTGTCCTGTTTCCTGACGAACCTTACCTAACCTAACCTGTTGTTCCGAGGTCGGTGGTCTACACATTACAAAGTCACGTGGACAGACACAGTATAAAACAATGACAGTATGGAAAAATAAACACAAATGCTCTATATTGCGATCCTTTATTGACTACATATACAGGAGTATATGTAGTGGAGAGTCAAGTGGAGAATGTTGGGTAGGTTGTGTATGAGACGAACCTGTGGTGGTGCTGGGTACCTGTGGTGGTGCTGGGTACCTGTGGTGGTCGTAGACATCTGTGTGGTGGTGCTTCATACCTGTGGTGGTCGTGGACATCTGTGTGGTGGTGCTTCATACCTGTGGTGGTCGTGGACATCTGTGTGGTGGTGGTGGACACCTGTGATGGTGCTTCATACCTGTGGTGGTCGTGGACATCTGTGTGGTGGTGGTGGACACCTGTGGTAGTGGTAGACACATGTGGTGGTGGACACCTGTGGTGGTGCTGAGTACCTGTGATGGTGCTGGACATCTGTGTGGCAATGTTTCAACCCTCGCCGGGAATCGAACCCGGACCCTCGCTGTGTGAAGCGAGAGCTTTAGCTATCAGGCCACGAGGCACCGTGGTAAGCATTGTGTGAAGGGAGAAGACAGTGGCAACCCACTCTATAAATTATTTTAAATATTAACATGATAGCCCCTGGAGTTTAACAGACATTATATCCCTCGATTATTGGTTAAAACACCAACGAACTTTTGCTCATCTCTAGCGAGCACAAGTGTATAGAAATATTCCCATTTTCTTTTCAGTGTTTGTGTTACGACAATAAAGTTATTGTAGCCATTAAAAATATATATAATTCAGTCGCTTTCAGCTTGAAACATATTTGTGGAAATTTTTTACATAATTTCCTAAATGTAGAACATATAAATGAATAATATAATAGTTGTGTAATAAAATTTGATGCTGATTTGACCCTTTCGAAAAATTTCGAGTGAGGGGAAGGGGTGGTGGAGGGGGAGGGGGAGGTGGAGGGGGAGGGGGGAGGGGGGAACAGCTGCAGAGTGATGCCAGTGGGAGACGCCATATTTAATTTAATGTGTGAACACTGGACTGAATTGTGTAATGTAATCAGACGTTCTCGAAGGTCTGTTGGTGTATATCGGCCTCAATCCGTGATTTAGAAATTCCTGACACATTCCTGCTGAAGAATTGGGTTAAATAGTAGGGAAAGCCCTTATAATTCGGCAACAAGGAAGGAAAAATTGTGGGACTTAAATGAATCCTTCCCAACAACACACCTTAGGTAAATGACGCGTACCCATAATGTACAGTAGTTTTTGCATTGGCCATCGTAAATGCTACGCGTATCTATAATGTACAGTAGTTTTTGCATTGGCCATCATAAATCCTAGCTGTAGAGGTAGCATTAGGGTGTGTTTCATCAACATTAAGTGTCTTCCAGTAATTAAATGGTAAGTGTTAATAACAATTATATTTTGTGTACCCATCAAGTCTAATCATATACAGTCCCTAACTTTAATTTGCCAGAATAGATGGTTTTAGTATTATAATTATTAATTTAATGTCAGGTCTAGCTTTTTGTGAGAGTGGTGAATAAGTGGGCATCAAGGGAGTTACAGTTCAGCGACCTGCTGTGACTTAAGTCCCACTTACCTCACCCAAATTACTTGCAGGTAATAATTCAGGTAAGTCCCTGTAAGCCTCCTGCGGGTGATTTGCTCACATAATAATAATAATAATTCACTCTAACGTTCATCATTTTCCACAGAAAACTAATGCTGAATGATTGTTACAGGTTTTGGATACAGTAAACCTGTCATGTTGACAGGTGGCTGTGTGATGGCCTTCCCATGTTTACAGAGGTGGCAGAGGTAGGTCCAGCACCACATTACATTCTTCAAAATGCTATATATAATATCTACAAGTTGAAGAGTAAGACACCCGTACAACACTTGTGTATCTTCATTGTCGCTTGAAGCGTTTCGTCTACACCGTAGGTTTCTTCAGTCAAATACAGAGGCAGCAGCGTCACAATGTAATCAGTCCATCAATCTTGAAGGAATAGTTTGTGAGGTGTTCAGGGACTGACCACCTCAAAAGCTATTTCTCCAAGGTTGATATCAGGACTGATTACATCTTTACTTCACTACTACGCCTGCCACCTCTGTATTTGACTGAAGAAGCCTATTGTGCAGGCGAAACGTTTTACTCAACACTAAAGATACCCAAGTGTTGTACTGGTGTCTTATTCTTCGCAACACTACAGTGTTGACAGGTACCTTTGTGTTGATCAGAAATAAGTCACAGTGTTTGACTTTATTTGGTTCTTCTAGATTAAACCAGCTAAAAGTTCTTGTATGTGTCTATAGCAATTGTAAAATTTACTTACTGAGCTTAATTTTTAAATAAAAAGTGGTCGGTCTTATTCGGAGAAAAGTTAGATTAATTTTGGCCTGTGTAGATTCTTATTTGCTTTTCTGTAAACTGGAAAAAAATAAATACTATTTGTTATGTGATACTTTCTAAATATCACATTTGATTAACTTCAACCTTCCATGCTGATAATATTGTAACTTCTGACCGGCTTCAAGCTTAACGTATTTATATATACCAAGATATTGGTCATTTTAGCCTCTTTGAGAGATTGAAATTAGGCCTGGGTTGTGTAATATCCCAATTTCAAAATTTTATTGAAGAAATTTGGATATCAGTTTCATTATTATGACTTGTGAATTACTCTTATGATTCCCTTCAAGTCACTGAGGCTAATATTTAAGTGCATTATTAACTTACGCCGCACTCTGCACTGTTCCACTCGCCTGCAGTGAGGCTCAGGTGACTGGGGTTATGGAATACCATTACGTACAAACCGAAATACATCTAGTAATCAATTTTACGTTACTATACCCCATTCTTAATAATAAATAGACTCCGAAAATCATTAATTTAACTCAGAAAAAGAGTGGAATCAAGTGAGAACCTCTGCTGTATGGTACAGTGGTCAGCACTGCCCTGTGGTTCAGTAGTCAGAGCGTCACATAAATGCTGATATACCTCAAATAATTCATTTATAATCACAATACTTAAATATTAGGCATATGAACATAGAAAATGTAAAAATAATTATCACTAGGGTCCAACTGAATAATTATTCTCTGCACCTGATACACGCAACGCATATGTTCCTATTTGTTTTCTACAACTGTTGGTCATGATGGATGCCAATATTACCTTAAATTACGTTTTGCCATTACTCAGTGAACTGGCAAATTAATGAAAACATTTGTTTGTCATTTCTCTAGACT